TTATTATTATTATTAATAATAATAATAATAATAATATATATATATATATATATATATATTTCATGACTCTAAGCACCTTATTTTAATGCAGAGTTCAGTTGGCTGGTTTAAACCAAACAATTTTTTCAAAAATCATTTTATTAATTTAGAAAAAATAAATCTTCTTCCAATTTTGCTTAATTACTGAAGCATTAATTTAAACAAATATATATACATATTTAATTTTAAAATATTTAGAAATCATTGCGTTCCTGAAAAAATATCTTTGTAAAATAAACAAATATGAGCAAGTTTTATGTTAAGTTATAATGTCTTTAAAAATGCTTGACCGTCACCTACTCTGTTTAGTATTTAAAATTAGTCAAATTAAGTAATAATTGAAAGAAAGCGTTTAGAATTACATAGCACTATTTAGTAGTCACTTTTAAATTGATTATGTCTGATGTGCATTGAAAGATATTTTATTTACATTTATATTTTTATTTAATTTAATTATTTTCATTAGCTTCCATGGTTTTGAAAATTATTTATTTTTTGAGGGTTGCAACTGCTTAGACTTCTATTTTTTAAAACAAATATGAATAGTTTAAAAATGCTTTATTTTATGTATGTGAAGTTTTTTAGTTGGATTTTATACAGTATGGTATCTTATAGGGGACCAAAACATTTCTGTGCTCGGGGGCCCCTGCATGCTATTAAAACGGCCCGGCCTTGTTTAAAAAAAAAAAATGTCTGGGATGAGAAATTTTTTTTATATCGGTTTTTCATCTTATTAATTTCGTTGAGTCTGATTGTACTATCTGATGTGGCAAACAATTTAAAATATTTTAAATTTTTTGCACTACGATCTTTCGAAACAGCTTCATATGAAAGAATGAGCATCATTTCTTCCTGGGACAAATATATATCACTAAGATATATCTCAAACAATTTTTAGTCTAAAACATGCACATTTTAAAACATAGATGGCGCTATCATAGCTGCTTAAAAGTATGTCTTGAGAGAGGTTGAAATTTTAAAATGTTATCCTTTATAGAGTTGTAGAAAAGGGATACTTATTTTGTATTTCCTTGACAAGTTTAATTTATTTAATAGAGTAAAAAAGAAATCAATGATATAAAAATTCAAAAAATCATCAAATACTTAGCTACTTTAATATATTCGAAGAACTAAAATTTGCCGTTAAATTTATTAAATTAACCACATTGCTGAAGTTGGAATCAATATTTTTTGCATTGCATTTCTATCGATATTTTGTGTTGATGTGCTAAGTTGTAAAGTATATTTTGTATTAAATTTTTCTTATTCATCGTAAATGCAAAAAATTAATAAAAACCTATATTTATTCTAAAAATACTGCAAAATTTTATTGATATAATTATAGATAACGATTTAATAAAAATTATTTACAAACGATTTATCTTAATTTTATATTTTTAGAATGTGACATATGGTAGGTTGGTAGTTTATTTACGTCGCACAAGAGCTGCACAATTGGCTATTGGCGACGATCTAGGAAACATCCCTGAGGATGATCCTGTCGCAATTTTGATCTTCTGCAGAGAGGATGGCGCCCCTGCTTTTGTAGCCCAATGACGTGCGCGTGAAGTTGAGCACTTCACGGTAGGACAGCTTAACGAGGATCGAAACCGCGTCGGTCCCTACGCAAGCTGATCATAGAGGTTACCCACCCGCTTACTGACGGCAGCCAGTGATGCTCAACTTCGGTGTTCAACGAGTGTGACATATACGTATATTTATTTATTACAGAATTTTGATCCTTTGTATTGACATATTATGCAAATTTTTCAAGTAATTTAAATACTTTATCTTTTTGACCATAAAACCATTTATATATATATATAAATAGAAAGAGATAGTTTCTTTAAGCCCATAAATTTATGAGTAAGAAATTCTTAGACTGACCAAATATATCAAGTGGGATAAAATCTTTCATTAGAAGAATAAGGTTGTTTGAATACTAATGGTGAAATTATAAGTTCAGAGTATTGCCTTTTTTTATCGACATGTGCAGTATGAGTTAGGTGCATATGTTTACTATTAATTTTTGTCTGAAATATGCAAAGTTAAGAACATAAATGGTTCTATCACTGCTAATTATTAAATATTTTTGGAATAAAGATTAAAATGCTTTCTTAAAGATGAAAGTGTTGAAATAAGAAATACTTATTTCATGTTTCTATGTCAAGTGTAATTTATTTAATGTTGATTTTTGCACTGCAATATTCATTTGGAACCAGGACACTTTTTATAAAACGAACATTTTATTTTCCAAAAATGTTTATAAATCTCTCGAGATATCTAAAAAATTATTTAGTTTGTGTATTTTAGTAAAGTGTGAGTTTGAAATGCACACTTTGCTAAAACGATTATTTCGTTTTCATTGCAGTAGCTATGAAAGCCAATTTTTCTGTAGAACGAGTTTTTATAACTTTTTTTTTTTGAATTTTTCTACTTATTTCGTTATTTTAAAATAACACTGTTGACCGATGCAAACGTCTGTTCGTATGTAGCAAATTTGAAGTACACATACAATGAAGCTAGGGATGAGAAATTGAAATTTTTTACCCTCATTTGAAGTAGCATTCTAACTTATTAGATAATTTTGTTGCATCTTCATCGCGGCATAAGAAAGTTGTTTTAATACCTTTTGAGATTGCAAACATGTTTTATTGTTGATATTTGGTGAAAGAAAACACTTATGCAAATTTCATTTTAGTAGAAATTACTCGCTAAGAATTTCAATATATTTAAACTATATAGGAGTCGTATTGGTTGCTATACCCAGCGCCCCCTTTGGTCTTTATTAAATACTTTTAAACATAGAAAGAGAAGATTGTTAATAATATGAGAATCACACTTTTAAAAATTTCAAATTTAAAAGTAAAAATTACCCGTATTTCTATATCGTAAGGTATTTCTCTTTTAAAGTATTTAAAGACTATAATCTTAAACCGGAAAAATTGCGCGATTTTATAATACATCCTCTGTATCAAACGGTCAATCACGTGGTAATAATCAACAAATCGATATTAAGAACGCCGAGACTAAGGAAGCAACGAGCATGTCAAGGATCTTATGAATTATTCTTTATTATTGTGTCAGATTTGTTTTTATTTGAATTTCCCTCTTATTAATAATGCAAAGTATTTTTCAATTTCGTGCAATTCACAAACTATTACTATGAAATAATTTAATGCTAAAAATGTTAATTTTATTTAGTAATTAAATTTTGAAATTAAAAAAAGTATATCAAAAGCAATTCTGAAAAGGCATGGATTTTACGGGACCCTAAAAATTCAGTCATAATTCGGTCTTAGCGCCCCACAAAACCACGAAAAACTATTTCGAAATATGTAACATGCAATAAGAAATATTTCTTAATATATGTACTATTTATTGCATAATAACATGCAACATACAGATTTTGTTACAAATACACATATTGTTGCGTTATCAGGTTTAACATAATTACTGAAACAAAATAATTTGCTCTTGCCAATAATATCGACTAGGAAGAATGTAAGTAGAACGAATCAAAAACAAAATGTAAGAAACTTTTTATTTATAAAATATAAATCTTACAAAATTTATTAGTACATAAATAGCCAGTAAAATGATTATAGATACAAATATAAAATTTAAATACCACAACGTTTAACGTTCATAACATATATAATATTAGATAATTTCTCTGGATTTGAGTGAAAACAACGATTTTATCAATGATTAATAGATGATGATGAGTGAAATGTCAGTTTTTATGAATGAACTTAATAATTTCCCTTGTAGTTCAACAGGTCTGGAATATTACAGAAATATTGCAAACAACCAGGATTCTTGATGTTCATCGTATCTGGAATTTGATTGGTTGAAATTATCCTCCTCACTACGCTTTCCATCCTCTTGTTATTAAGATTATACTAAAAAATAAAATAAATAAATACTATACAGTTTTCAAAATTTAACTTTACCAGAAAAATAATCAATCCTAAAAGTAACTAAATTAGTGGTTCAATTAAAGTTTTATTGGATAAACGAACAATGCGTAGTAGAAAGAAAGAACTTACTCGTTCGTAAAATGAAATTGAAGATTAATTACGTTTAACAGAAGGAAAAAATTTCTTAAATGGTGTTTTTTGGTTAATGAATAATGGAAATTTAAAGATAAAAATGCAAACATTATGTTCTGAATTACAGTTTTATATTTTTTAATATGATTTTAGCAAAACTGTTACCAACTACCAAACCTTAAGGTATCGAGTGAAATTTTTTAGATGACATCGTGGTACTTAATGAGTAACATCGTGATACTTCTTGTTAGTGGGTACCATATAGGTGGATCAACGTCACCCCAACAACATAAGAGAGACAGATAGAACAGTGAGAGACAGATAGAACAGTGAGAGACAGATAGAACAGTGAGAGAAAGATTACATCCATGCCCGAAGCGGGATTCAAACCCAGGATCTTTCTGACGTGAGGTCAGCTTCGTGACCACCTAACAGCACCGGTAGTCGTATAAACTAAAAAGTTGTAGTGCTTAAATATTTCGCAAAAGGAAACAATTTAACTTTATTGAGCAATAAAAAAAGATAAAAGCAAAATAAATTTTAATGCTTATTTTCACTTGTTGGAATTGTTAATTTTTATAAGCCCATGATCAACACACCTTGATTGAACAGATGTGATGATTATTAAATATTATTATATTTTATGTATATATAAAATTTATATTTTATATATATTT